GTCCCTCGAGGCGTACCTTTAGGTCAGTCTCTTGTCTTGATTGGTGTCTGCAAACTCATTGTGGAGTTGGAATGTCCCAAATGAAAAGGGCAGTAGCTTGATAATGGAAAACATGGTCATTACATTTCAAGACCTAAGTGAAGAATTTTGCTTTTTTTCTATGCTACTGTTGTTCTGTGATACTACTGAGTCTGTATTGTGCAGTAGTTTATAATCCAGAATAGAGCAGATAAAACTTTGGTTGCGCATAAGCAGGTGATGTGCTTCATCTCTTTTTCCTGCTGCAGCTTTCTGTGGATTGGTAAGCTTTGACAGTGATGGTTATCGTGATGTTAATGCCGTTGGTGAAATCAAGCTATTTGTCAAAGGTTACCTCAATATACCTCGGTGCCTCTTCCTCAAGGATAGTAGTGCCCACAAAGGATGGTGATAGTTTGTCTGCATCAGCATGTCTATTGTTGGGTGTGCAGAACATGGCTATGGCTTTGGCAGGATTGATAACCATTCCTGTGTCATTGCACCATTTGCTCACCCTGTTAAGTGATGGTTTCATCTTTATTTTGATTTCAGCTTTGCTAGAGTCTCTGTTCTACACCACCAGCAAAGGGTATCACATAGCATCTGGTTGGACAGTCAAGATGGGTTTGGTATAAATGTTGAAAAGGAGTGGCGATCCTTGAGGCAGACCAGTGTTGATGGTGATCCAGTGAGATTGCTAACTTCCATGCTTCAAGATGTAGCTTCTGCTAGTTGATGCAGATACGACTCATTTTACACATGTTACATTGATGTCTGTTCTGAGCATTTTTTCAACAAGAGAGTGAGTAACTGTACTCTATTGTAGACATTTTCCCAACCTAAAGCTACTGTCAAGGTATTCTGACCAGTTTCAAAGCATTCCCATGTATAATTTGTGAAGTGAGTATTGTTGATTCAGGTTTTTCTTCCACCATGATAACCACTTATGATATCAGTAGTAGTGATTCAATTAGTTCTAGCTAAAGCCTTCTCTGGGATCTTTTCAGTGATGTCTTGCAAGATGATGATTTGATATTCTTCAAGATGAGAGTGATCCTTCATGTGTTTGGGTAAGTCCATATTTCAGGGATGTCATATGTTACCCTGTTACATTGATACTCAAACACTAGCTTCAACAGGTAGGCTTCTACGAGCTTCTTAAAGGTGGAAATCCTTACACAATCTGAACCTTGAACCCCATCTTTAGGTGTATTTATGGCTCTGTGTATCTCATTCAAGCTAAAGATTACTTCTGTATATTCATGTAGTTGTAGCTCAGATAGGGATTAATGTAGTTTGACCCTGTCCTGCATGTCATCATGGTTATATTGGTTAATGCGTGAATGATAATATTAAGCATGTATTCATAAGAGTGCAGCTTCTAAGTTTAGGACTAAGCAACATTAATGGAGAAACAAGTTGTTTCAGCACTAAGTGGCAGAATTTTTAAAATCTTCCACTATTATCAAATAACAGAAGAGCAGATTACCTGTCAGATTTATTTTTCTTCTACCATATTATACTTCTTGAAAACATTACTGAGTTATACTTTGTGCTTTAGGAACCCCAGGATCTGTTCGAATTGCTAGAGAAACTACAAACAAGTCGACTAGACGACCAGAGGTGTGTTTTGCCACCAGTTCCAGTGAGTAGTTGTTATCTTATGTGAATATTCTTGTTAGTTAAATCCCCTTTTATAATGTCTATTACTGTATTTCATGATATTCATATAAACCAGTATGTTCTAAGCATATAATGGGGTAAGCTTATCAATCTAATGTTGACATTGCTTATATTATTTAGATAGTTTTCTCTGTTTTGTTTAGAGTCATTATGTGTAGTAAGTCTATATAACATCTAACTCTGTACAATTTCCATTTTGATGTTATCAAAAGATATCTTCATTTATTTTCTTTCTCGTGAGTTTTTAATCATACTCTAAATATTGTTGAATGAAGTAGAATGTGTTATGAGCTACTAACTTGTACCAAAGATTATTTTATGGTAAAAAGAAACTTTGGCACAAGTTACTAGCTCATAGCACATTCTACTCCATAAAATTTTAGGAACGAAAAAGCAATACATGTCTTTTTTTATTATTATTATTAAGTGATCATGTATGTAGTTGTTTAGAATATTAGCATTGTTTAATTGTTACAAAGTATGCGTTTAATAAAATAAGACTAGATATGAGGCACACAAAGAATGTTTTCACATCTTCTTGGAATAGTGAATAAATATATATGTATAGTACATGATGACATAACTCCTCGGACCACCATGACTTCACTTGTTCCTAAATTATTTTTACATGAAAGATACATGTCTTAATGCACAAAAATGGTTTCATGATCAGTAGTTTAATTTTTTCCCCCTATTTTCTATGAAATCTTTGGCTGTTTTTATTAGATTTGTGTAGGAAGTGTCTTATAAACCTGACCAATCTAAAGGAGTATCACAGATACTTGTACAAGTATGAATTGGGAGGTTTCTTTCCCCCTGTGAATGTTATTTGTAATAGTTGATGAAATACATAGCTTTAGATTATGGGATACTGCACTTGGAACTTTTGCTTGAATTGATAGAGTGATGTATCATAATTTACCCTATCCTTGTCCTATATGGATGTTTTTGGAAAGTCCTCTTCACCCCAACAGCTAGTTGCAATCAAAGAAAAACTAGAAGCTGCCAGTAGATAATAAACATGTACACTTTAGTGAAAAAAGATTTGGTTTATATATTCTGTTCTATTAGATTGTTATTTATTTTTTTCCTGTTAGTATTTTAAATTATCCTCAGCAGATTCTTTTAACTACCTAGCTGATTTTTTATTGTGGAATTTGTTTTAAACGTGTTGATTTTTCATTTGTCCTTCTGGTATTATATTGTTTGTAGATTGTAGTTATGGAAGGGTATTTTTTAAAACCACACACAAGTTATGGGAAAAGGAGAAAACAATGGTTAATGTGAGGACATGATATAAAAATGTGGTTAGGACTAGAAGAAGCATTCTGTTAGATCCAGAGCTTTTTTCAAACAATGGTGAGATCTGTGTCTGCTCCCAATCCATTCTTGGGAGCCTGGCATGGCTTGGTGCTAAAGGCACTCAACTCTTAATCTTAGGTTTGTAATTTTGTACCTCATGCCTCAATTTGCTCGCCCTTTTATCTGTAGGAGCATTTTAATGTGATGGTGAATTCCACTATTCATTGGTAAAGAATAGCCAAAGAGTAGGCAGTATGTTAGTGTTGACTAGCTGCCTTCTCACTTCAAAATTAGAGACAGTTGCTGTAGATAGCCTTTTAGTAGCTTTGTGTGAAATTCAAGAAAAACAAGTAAGTAGTCCTTGGGACAATGAGGTTAAAGTGTGCCTCACTGGGCAATCCTAGGTGCCCCTTACACACCCTTTAGTGGCTACTTCTCATGGTCTATAGCATAGGGCACCAGAGAAGAATCATGGTAGCATCAAGAAGCTTGAATGTCCTGAGGCTTGTTGGGATGGTCTCTATGGGAACCAAAACATTCTTTAACAAGCCTAAGTATTGAAAAAGGTGCTGGCTTTAGTCACCTGTGACACTGGTTAATGACACAATGTGCATGCAGGATGATGTTTGGCACATTTCATTGCAGTGCTTTCAGAGGGATCATTTGGTGCCTCATTGCAATCCATCAGGATTAGAAGCTAATTAGTACCCTTCCAGACTAACCAGGCATACTGCTGATGCTCCCAAACTGTGTTCAATATTTGAGGACAATGTGTTTTACACCAGATCATATCATTACTATGCAAACAATGAATATCCCAATATGATCTTAGTCTGAAAAAGTCACATTTATCAGGGTATGCATCTTTGACCTTTTGAATAAGATGAGGTTCTTAACCAGATGCACACAGCCTCTCAGCTGCTTAGTACTAGAGAAGCTGTCAGTACCACCATATAATTATGGGGGTGAAGTAAAACATTAAACCCACGAGTGTTTTAGGGGATGAAAAAAGGACTTGGACTGTTTCCACAAATACTTCAAGCAAGTGTTTGCTTGAAATTGATGAATTTGGAAACAGGCTGTGCTACATCTCATGTTCAATATAAGTGGTCCCATTGGTATAGTAACAGAGATATAAGTGACACAAACTAGCCAAGTAGTGCGCTGCAGCCTCTGAATCACATTTGAGAAGAAGAGCACAACTTTTAGAACATCTGAAGTGTAGTTCTAAATTTTAGAAACAACCTGAACTCAAAACAGACATGAACTCAGGAAGTTTGCTGATGTGTTCCTGAAACCGGATAGCCAGTTGGGTCAGATAATAATCACACATTATGACACATAGATGCATATCTGACAAATCATCCACCATAAACTTCCTTGATTTGTTTGTTTGAAGTTAAGCACAAAGCCACACAATTGGCTATCTGTGATCTGCCCACCACAGGTATCGAAACCCGGTTTCTAGCATTGTAAGTCTGCAGACATACCGCTGTGCCACTGGGAGGCGACTTCCTTGAAGCACCAGTGCTGAAATCATGTTAATATTCAAGAACAGAGTACTAAAACCTCCAACGAGTTCTTGATCGTCTCCACTGGTAATTGTCAGTAAATAAAGAAGGAACACAATGTTCTGTGTAGACTTTGGATGGATGATTGCAGTGTCAGTCTTTCACATCTTTCCTTTATCTTCTACAGATGAATGCCTGGAATGCTCATGTTGGTTTAATACTGCTGGATACTGGCAAATTGAACTAAACAATGAAAGTAGACCTAAAACTGCTTTCAGCACTGGAAGAAACTGCACAAATTTTACATCGTGCTATTCAGTCCGTGTTGTATTGCACCTGCTACTTTCAAGTGGCTAAAGGTGCTTACATTTATACTTATTTGTTGTTCAGTTACTGATTATTTTTTTTGCATATACAAAATTGTCATTGTATAAATTTAGTTTTTTAGATACAGAAAATCAAAATATCTGAAATGTTTCTTTCAACAGATACATATATATTGGAACTCAAAATGTTTTAATTCAGTTTCAAATACAAGAAAATGCTTAACATAAGTATGACTTGACTTGCAAAAGGTACAAATATCTTTTTATTTTTATTTCTTGTATATAACTCCAGAAGACATTGAAATGTGCAATGTTTTAAGTAAAAGTTGTTCAAGATTTTAATATGTATCTTTTAATTGCATAAATGTGAAAGGTTATATTTTAATTGTTTATTAAATTTTAAATGCTTAACATGCACTTATAGTGACATATTATTGATTTTATAGCTAAAGGACAGAATATTTTGAAAAAGGGAGCTATTACTTTTTACATGAATGTAGGCTAGAAATTGAGAACAGAAAAGTTCAGGTTCTTGTTCATATATTTCTTAGACATGTAGTGTAAACTAATCCTGAGATTTGTTCACATATTAGTTAGATATGTAGTGTAAACTAATTCTGAGTCTTGTTTACATATTTCTTAGAATGTATTGTAAACTAATCCTGAAACTTGTTCACATATTTCTTAGAATGTAGTGTAAACTAATCCTGAGTCCTGTTCACATATTTCTTAGAATGTAGTGTAAACTAATCCTGAGTCTTGTTCACATATTTCTTAGAATGTATTGTGAAATAATCCTGAGTCTTGTTCACATATTTCTTAGAATGTATTGTAAACTAATCCTGAGTCTTGTTCACATATTTCTTAGAATGTATTGTAAACTAATCCTGAGTCTTGTTCACATATTTCTTAGAATGTAGTGTAAACTAATCCTACGTCTTGTTCACATATTTCTCAGAATGTAGTGTAAACTAATCATTAGTCTTGTTCACATATTTCTTAGAATGTATTGTAAACTAATCCTGAGTCTTGTTCACATATTTCTTAGAATGTAGTGTAAACTAATCCTGAGTCTTGTTAACATATTTCTTAGAATGTAGTGTAAACTAATCATTAGTCTTGTTAACACATTTCTTAGAATGCATTGTACACTAATCCTGAGTCTTGTTCACATATTTCTTAGAATGTAGTGTAAACTAATCATTAGTCTTGTTAACACATTTCTTAGAATGTATTGTAAACTAATCCTGAGTCTTGTTCACATATTTCTTAGAATGTAGTGTAAACTAATCCTGAGTCTTGTTCACATATGTCTCAGAATGTAGTGTAAACTAATCCTGAGTCTTGTTCACATATTTCTTAGAATGTAGTGTAAACTAATCCTGAGTCTTATTCACATATTTCTTAGAATGTAATGTAAACTAATCATGAGTCTTGTTAACATATTTCTTAGAATGTAATGTAAACTAATCATGAGTCTTGTTAACACATTTCTTAGAATGCATTGTAAACTAATCCTGAGTGTTGTTCACATATTTCTTAGAATGTAGTGTAAACTAATCCTGAGTCTTATTCACATATTTCTTAGAATGTATTGTAAACTAATCCTGAGTCTTGTTCACATATATCTTAGAATGTAGTGTAGACTAATCCTGAGTCTTATTCACATATTTCTTAGAATGTATTGTAAACTAATCCTGAGTCTTGTTCACATATTTCTTAGAATGTAGTGTAAACTAATCATGAGTCTTGTTAACACATTTCTTAGAATGTATTGTGAACTAATCCTAAGTCTTGTTCACATATATCTTAGAATGTAATGT